CTTTCTATGAAGTCTTACAACAGCATTTATATCTCTTAGATGAAGAATGCATGTTAAATAAAACTGTTTGAACAACCCACCAGCCACTCCTCGGAAGGAAGGTTGGGCAATCCTACTTCCGTAGTGATAACTGCCTCGGAAACCCCAGGAGGGGTCGCTATGAGTCGGGTTTGACTCAACGGCACATAACAACAACAACAACAATGTGGTTAAATTTTTCTGTCCGTACAACACGCATCATAGAAATCAACAGGTAAAAAAGGGCATTCTAATGTTTTCATTACTAAAGATTCTATTTCAAGCATTAACCATAAAACAAACCTAGTAGTGTTATCTAAATGAAAGTAATTTATATATGGAAGCTCTTTAGAAAATCTTGAAAACAAAATCAAGTAAAATATTTTTTGTTTTTCTTTTTAGGAGATCCTTGGGTAAGCATGGCCTGAAGTATAGTAATTCCAAACAGACCAGGTTTTTCTTATTACAAAATGTGTATATTTTTTAATGTTGCATGTCAAGGCCTAGATCTCATAGTTACAAAGATTCTTATAAATGGAGAAGAAAAACATGAGAAAGCTGTTAATTTTGCAATACACAAACCCAAAATCTTTATAGGCTTATTAGCTGTCACACTTTAAAAATCCATGTTTTTAATATTGACTGTAGAGAACTCAAAATGTGCAGATTATTCAAGCCACATTATATCCTGAAAGGACTGTGTCTGAATTCACATGAGACAAGAGGACACAATTTGAGGCGGTATTTTATCCTTAACCATCTATGTCCATTAAAAAAAAAAAAAAATTGTGTCTTAATTGCTGAGCCTCCACAATACAGGGAACTGAAGAGCAAGGCTCTTATGTTCTCCCTTTACTTAGTGATACAGCCATTTCATCTATCACCCTCATCCTAAACTGAAGAAAATAAACAAGCAAACACTGAGCCACCCTCTATGCCACTCTATTGGAATTAAGCGACTCAAATCTACCCAGAAACTTCAGGCCTTTATGTGGAAGGAATCTTGTAGTATCATTTGCAAAAAGAAAGAAACATTTTTGCAAGACCATCTATATTCATCCATGTCATTGCTCAAAGACAGTTTACTGACTCAAGGATAGAGAAATAAAGACCTTTGTGAAGCAAATCAAGACTGAATGGCAGTCCTAACTAACTAGATATGGAGTAACAGTCAGCATGCTTAATATATTATTCAGTTCAAGCATTTAAAAAGAAGTTTGTCACATAGAAAATGGAAGATTTTTTTTAATAGATTCAGAAAAACTGGGTTCCCAATTCAGACTACCCTATGTGACTTTAGTCATTATCATCTTTTCTGATTCTTACAAAGTAAACCTAATTAAGAACCTCCTTCATTAGTCTTCCAGAAAAATTAGCACAGCTTATGCTAATTACTCCTGCAAAATTTAATAAACTCGTTGAAATGGGAATAGTCTAATGAGGTTTTATTTATTGAACTAAGATAACTCCAAGGAAAAAGGTTAGGACACAAGGATATCCAATGTGGTAATAAAACTACAATTTATTCAATTTCTAAACATGAATTTTATTGCAAACCTTTTAAATACAAATATGAGTTAGTACGTGAATATGTTAAATCAATCTCCACCTTAATTCAATAACTAGAAGTCATTTTTTACTTTTTACTTTAACAATAATTACCACACATAGCCCTTTACCTCAAACATAATGAAATTTGCTGCTATTAGTTCCTGGTCATCCACTATTAAACATAACACATTTGACTTTTCCCATGTCTATGCAGCCCAAATATCTGGATAATTGGACACAGGATAGGTTTTATGCTTCTTAATCAAGCTATTTGGCATCAGGCAGAGATATAATCTGGCAGTCGACTCCAGATGTACACTTTGGACATTTACTGCAGTTTTCCTATAAACGTTTTTGAAGTGACTTAACAAATTGTCACGAGTATAAAAAAGAGTTTGGGTCTTTTTTTTTTTTTTTTGTCTTATTTTGTCGAATGCGTATATTATGACAGAATGAAATAGAAATCCATTTTTTAAATCACAGGATGCAAGTGCTGATTTTGTTAAATCCCCTTTTTGGATAGAATATGCCAAGCTGATGTCCCCAAATCACCGGCAACAAATAATACAGCCAGAATTTAACACAGGAAAGAGCTTACCCTGCACCATTGTCGTATGACCAGAAAGCCTCTTCTGTCTATCCATCCTATTAATAGTTTTCCTGAATAACCACTGCTAAAAGTCTTTTGACTGATAAAAATAGCCGTATTCTTCTAAAATCCAAAGGATAAGCAAAGGATGCCCAAAAGGTGACTTCGTATTAAAACTATGCTAAATTATAACCCAAAGATTGATTCTACTCTCAGCTTTATTAACTGCAGATCACATGCATCTTGTAAAAACAGTTACTATTGTTGCTGAATGCAGGTCCCATGACCTATTTTTACAAAATATGCAGGGATCTGCATCCATAAATCTGAAAGCAAATCAAACTCTAAGCCGTAAGACAGATATGCAATCAGTAATATAGAATCAAATCGGAAACTATGAGATTCAAACACAGTTGCCATCATTTTTTTCTTTGTAGCAATTTTATGGAATTGAAAAATCTTTTCTGTATCGCACCCTTCTTTGTGTGAGTTCTTTTCTTGTTGTCATTCTCTCTCCTAGTTGTTGAGAAGGAAAGTTTCACATATCAGCACAGACAGGACTGGAGCTTTTAAAACCTTTGGCAGACTAAAGAACAAATAAATTCTGAAAACTCAGATGCAAATAAAAATAGCTAAATGGGGTTTTGCATATCAACTGGCATCACTGCTTGAAAAGATAGGTCATGGGAGATAGTGGCAACAGCCAGCAAATAAACATATGTTGAGACTTGAGTAGATACACTGGTTTTTGACCATTTTTAAAGTACTCTCTTAAGAGACCAAGACTGGCTACACACTGTTTTCTACTTCGTCAAACCAAAAGGAAAAAAAAATGAAAAGAATAAATGTCATGAGTAATATCTCTAAAGCCACCAACAGTATAAAGTGCATACTTATTTTGCCTAAATTGTTTGAACTACCCTAGCCAAGAAAAGGTTTTAAGTACCCTACTGGGACAGATGCAAGGCGGCAACAATAGAAGCCACACTAATGCAATCCAGGTAACACAATCCTGTTTCAAAAACACGGGCCGGGCTAATTACAGCGCTGCTGAGTCAAGTTTCTTAAGCCATTGCAACCCACAGGAACAGGTCAAAATCAAATGTTATTCAAACCACAGTCATATCAACCTTCTATATCAGAGTCACAGCTCAAAACCAAATGAAGAACTTAAAAGCTTAACCCATTCACAAACATAAATAAATAAATAAAGTATTTTCACGGCGGGTGACAACATAAGGTTCTTGTCATCATCTAAACCAAAAGGAGCTGTGCGGCAGAACGAAACACACATAGTTTCAAAGTTTGGGTGAATATTTGGTCCCTTGATCAAAATCATTTCTTTTTAATACAGGAGTAAAAGAAACTAGCTTAAAATAACAGATGGCATTTTAAATGAAACAAACAGCATTAAAGTTATATTTATTTTTGACCTTACTCATTTGAACACTTAGCTTCCATTGAAGAAAAATAAGTCGTCTGAATCGCAAATCTGCTCTCGTACATACTCATGCCATTCTAATTCTAAGTGCAGCACACAGCCTGGCTACACACTAAACTTTCATATCTTTTAATTCTAAATCACATGCTTCCGCTGGCTATAGTACTCTTTTACCAAGCAAAAATAAGTTTTTAATGAATTTTATGAGTTAAAGCTACTCAACTAAAATATTTGACTTCAATGTAAACTTTATAAAACTACTTGGCAATCAAAATTGCATTTAAGGCTAAGGAATCATGTTAGTCAAAATTAACAACCAATCTCTTGACATAAATTATGATGAAGAATATAAATACTTTTATGTTGTTGTTGCTGTAACTGAAAAAATGATAAATCAAGCCCAGAAAGGATGAAGAACTGGAAAGATAGTTTTTTGTCAAAGCTCAACATTACCAAACCCCCCAAAAAAGGACTTTTGGTCAGCCCTTGATTTCATCAATGAGGAATCAGTCAGTCACATTTATAAGATTCTTGTTCCAGCTAGTGGAAGGTGCTAGCTCTTTCCCTAGCTGACAACTGACAGTATCTATAAACCTTCCAGGCCATTTAACTCCCAATGAGTAACACTATGTAACAAATGGTTTATCATACATGTTTCCATACAATGAATTTCAATAATTAAAATTTAAAATGAATATTTGGAATGCGACTTTGCATAATGTGTGCACAGACTGACTCGAAATTGCACCGAACAACTCAAATAGATTTATTGTTCTGTGGTGATTTACTTGGTCATGTCAGATTAGTAATATGGATCTGTTTAAAAACACAATAATTAAGACAAGCAGGATAAATTAATCAATTTACAATACAGTAGGAGCTCCAATCAAACCCAGGAAATAACAATAGAAAAATCTTGATCCACACATCTCTTTAAACTGCTTTTATGCATAAATAAAACCTTAAAATGTAGATGGATTACGTCCAACAGAACTACTGTAGCTAAAAGTGATAATGATTCAAACATTTTTCAAATAAAAGTTAAATATTTATAAGCACCCAACCACATTTCATAAATCACAAACTATTATTATTTTATTTCTGAAGCTTCCTGGCACAGCATGAGGATTGAGCCACAGAAAGTCAGAGAAGAAAAAAATGTATATATATTGCTTTAGAAGCATGAATCAGACACAAAACCGGAGCAATCCAAAAAACAGGCCTTCAAATAACATTCCATATGGCTTTCTCCAGAATTGCAACCGCTCAGCGCAGCTTCCGTTGTGACCAACAGGCATGTTTCGGCCACATGCATTCCTAACCCTTGCCCATGAGCGACACAAGGCAGGTGTTTCATTATAATGAGGAATAAGAATCCAGTGAAAGAAGAGTGGTCCCTACCTGTCAATTATCACTGGATCTGAGGGAGTCTCATTTCGGTTGCCACAGCTTTTCTTGTCACAACAGCGGCTATGGAGCAAAAGCAAAAGGATTTAGTACAACCATTACAATGTAAAATCATCATTTAGGCAGACAGAAGGTTCAAATTGCTGGGTTGCAAATGCTAGAATTACCACAAAGCCATACCTGGCAATCAACGGATCCCTGGGACAGAAAATTCTATTTGGGTCACCTATGGGTTAATGGCCAGGCTTAACCTCTCCCTGCACAAAGAAGGAGGGCAGGAGATGGCTCTCCGGAGCCACAGCTGACAGCCCTAAGAGGGGGTCTCCCCATCAGTGCCCACAGTATTGGAAGACTTCACTGTGAAGTACATTGTCATTGCATCTACCCAATGAGAATATTCAGGGTTGTGGGTGGCTCAAACGTTCTTCCCTCAAGATCAGACTAATTGTGTGGAGCACGTCAATAGTGAGGTATGAGAGATTTCTCCCCCTTCAGTCATTTTGTATTAAATGGATTCCTTGTTCCTCTCTTTTCTCTGTAAATGGCAGAAGTCTCCCTCAACCACAGCCTTTCCAAAATCCTAAAACTATAACTGTTTGCTTTTCAACTACCTTCATGAGAAAAAAAGTACAATACAATAATTAAGACTAAGAAAAAGCAAGAGAAAAGAAAGGGAATGTGTAAGTCCATATACCCTCTGGTTTCTATGGCCTGCCCTGGCCACCATGCAGGTTCCCTGAGGGCATTCTGGACACGGGTTAGCATAGCTCTGATAATAGTCATTCTTTATTAGGTCAGAGCCAGCAGCTATGGCTCTGATCTTAGGGTGTCAATTTCTTTTTTTAACTAAGATACTTGCAAAAAGTGATAAATTAGTATTTTTGAAAACTGTTCTTGGTCAACAGAAGACTATCCTTCTGAGACTTGTTTGCAAATAAAAAATGTGCCCACTGGCCAGACCACACCAAGGGGCATGTTATAAAAGCACATATTTGATCAGTCAATGATGCAAAGAAGTTATCCAAGGGTTTAACCTTACTATAAGCCTCAAAAAACATGCACTTTTCTCCCTCTCACTTATACACTCATACACACACACAGAGGACATGGTGAATCACAGAGCCTAAATTTAGAGAGCTGCTGAAAAGAAACAAACACTGAACTTTATTTTCTGGACCAGAAATATGCTTCTGCATAGGGAGGCTCTCACTAAAGTTGGGAAGTCTTTTTCCTTGGTATAACTCTATCTCTGAGGAGAAGAGAAACTTCCAAACTTGCTTATTCTGTTTGTCTCTCATTTCCCCAGAAAACAACAGTAAGAATTGTATCTCCTTCGTCAATGCCCCAGCCAAAAGCCACTCCACCCACTGCGTAGCCTTACCCTTTCTGATTCAAAAAAAAAAAAAAAAAGGAGCTCTGGTGGCATATTGGCTAAGGCACAAGACTGCTAATCAGAAGGCTGGTGGTTCAAACCCACCAGCCACTCCTCGGAAGGAAGGTTGGGCAATTTACTTCCATGGAAATACTGCCTTGGAAACCCAAAGACGGGTCACTATGAGTGCGAATCGACTCACCGGCAGTGAGTTTCTGATTCAGAGGAACCTATTTCCTCCAGATCTATCCCACTAGCTAAACAGATGAAGAAACAAGGGAATGGGAAGCATAAGTATTTAAAAAATAAACTCCATCATCTGAACTCTGATCCCCTCTACCTACATCTCCAGGACTTTCTAGAATAGCATAGTGGTTAATAACATTGGCTCTGGAGTCTGACAGACAAACCTGTGTCACCTGACTACCCCAGAGCTCTCGGTGCCCTTATCCTGCTTTATTTTTCTTCATACCATTTACCTCATTATATACTTCTTGTGTTGTTGTTATGTGCCGTCAAGTCGGATCTGACTCATAGTGACCCCTCCTTGGGTTTCCAAGGCGGTATCACTACAGAAGTTGAGTGCCCAACCTTCCTTCTGATGAGTAGCTGGTAAGTTTGAACTGCCAGCCTTCTGGTTAGCAGTCAATATACATATTTTTTGTTCTTCTTTATAGAATATAAATTTCCTCCTTTGTAAAATGGGGGCAATTTTAATAGCCACCTCTCAGTGCTGGGGCTCAGATTCAATGCTATAAGACAGCAAAGCTGGGCTCTGTGACTGGTCCTACTAAGGGCTCAGCGAAGGGAAGCTTCATTATTATTGCCCCTTCCTCCTCCAGCCTGCTCCTCCTCCAAGTGTGAGCAACCTGCCCTGTGCTTTACAGACCATATGCAGGGTCCAATGTCCCCTACCCATGGAGGAAAACAAACAGAAAGACCTATTTCTCCTTCATTTTCTTTCTCAAAACAGCAAGTGGGCAAGGCAAGCTCCTGGAGGCCTTTTTCTCACCTCACTGCAGTTCTACCTGGACTAAACGCCATCTGGGACCCTTTCAGCTTACATGATGATAATTGTTGACTAGCATCTACATCTCAAGCCATTCTAATTCCCTCCCTCCCTAGTGAAAGTCATGTTCCTTCCTCACTTGGATCCCTATATGGGTCTCCTACCTCATCTCACTACTTCTACCCTTGACTCCCTATGACAGCCAAGGTGATCTTTCCAAAATGTCAATAGGATTGAATCACATTTTAATGGCTTCCCACACTTAGACTATATTCATGACCTGACCTGAAGCCAGACCACTTCCCAACCTCCTGTCCCCCTCCTCCACCTTGCCCAGCTCTGGCCACACAGGGTCAGTTGTGATTCCTCTGATGGGCCATATTCCTTCAGACCCCAAGGGCCAGGCCCAGCCAGCCTCCCTGCCTGGGCAGTTCCCTCATTAGCTAACCTGTACACTCCCTCCATGTCTCAGCCTATAGGTTCCTTACTTCTTCAGAGATGTTCTCTCTGACACCCACCTTCACCTAAATTATGTTCTTATTGTTATCTCCTTTCAGGGCATTTAACACAATGCAAATTATAGCAGTTCAAACCCACCAGCCGCTCCACAGGAGAAAGATGTGGCAGTCTGCTTCTGTAAAGATTTCTGGCCTTGGAAACCCTATGAGGCAGTTCTACTCTGTCCTGTAAGGTCTCTGTGAGTGAGAATCAACAAGGGGTTTGGGTTTTGAATGAGAAGTTTAAGGTCTGGGATAGAACAGAGAAGCTCAAATATTTGATTGATTGAAGTAGGAAGGAAGGAAAGTAGGTTCTGTATGAAGGAATATTATTTATTAGGGGGAAAATGTAATAATATAATCCTGAGAAAGAGGAGGGTAACACATAAGGAAGCCAAGCTGACCCTCTAAGCAGGCATTGCTGATGGTTGGAAGATTCACTCCATATACCAAACCACTTCTCTCAAGCAAGGCTACGCCAGGCCTGAGATCGGTCCTTTGACTTACGCACTGTCCTTGTCTCTTTATGAGAACAATACTCCAGAGAGAAACCAGATGAATTTAAGTACAGGGTAAATAAGAACCACCCATCTCTGCATATCCCAAAGGACTCAGAGAAATGGGCAGATTGGAAGGGTAGAAACGTAGAAGGAAGGATGGAATGGAAAAAAGAGAGAGAGAACGAAAAAAGAAAACAAAATGAAGAAACTGAGAAGTTACTTAACATTCCTAAAAAAAACTTAAAGTAAGAAAAATCGCCCAGCATGTTTCCTGTTTCTGTTTCTCCTGCATCACACAATCATCATCCCAAAATGAGATCCTCAAGATTCTGCTCTGCACCTCGAGTGGCTGCAAAATAGTGTCTATCATATGAGCCCATTAAAAAGTAGATACATGACCCATTTTAAAAAATACAGAATTTTGTGCAATTAGCTCTGGTAGCATAGTGGCTAAGACACTTGCCTGCTAACCAGACGGCTGGCGGTTCAAACCCACCAGCCACTCCTCGGAAGGAAGGTTGGGCAATCCTACTTCCGTAGTGATACTGCCTCGGAAACCCAAGGAGGGGTCGCTATGAGTCGGGTTTGACTCAACGGCACATAACAACAACAACAACAATTAAAAAGAGTAAGATGAGTTTTTATTTACTGTCATGGGAAGAAATCTAGATTATATTGTGAATTGAGAAAATCAAGTTGCAGAGTAGTATGCTTGCTACAGTTCTATTTCTGGGAGGAAAAAAAATGAGAGAAAGAGAGAAAATTTGCACTAAGCGTGGCTCATTCCTCCACTTCACTTAAACCTCTGTACAATTACCATCTTAGAAAGGCCTTCCCTGACTACTCCCCAAGCTTTCTGTCCCCTCATCCTTCTCCATTGTTTTTGCTGCTGTCTCTTGCCGTCGAGTTGATCCTGGTTCCTGGTGGTTCCACATGTGCAGAGTAGAACTGTTCCATAGGCTTTTCAAGGCTATGATCTTTCAGAAGCAGATCATGAGGCCTGGCTTCATGAGGCTTCTCTGGGTGCACTAGAGCTGTCAACCTTTTGGCTAGTAGTTGCGTACTTAACCATTTGTACCACCCCGTAGAGCTCACCATATTATATTTTATATTTGTTTTCTTCTTTATTGTCTGTCTCTCTCACTATAATATCAGTCTCATGAGGGCAGGGCCTTAGACTGTTTTGTTCATCCCTATATTCCCAGCAACTAGAATAGAGCTTGGTACACAGTCGGCCTCCAGGAACTCATTATTTGAACGAATGAATAGAAAATTCAAAGAGGTAACCTATAAGGAGTGGAACAGCAAATGGGGAGGAATGGAGGATATGTATTTTATTTTCATACCTCTGCAGTTTCTGCTCTGTAAGGCATTTGACCACTAACCAGAAGGCTGGCGGTTCAAACTCACTAGCCACTCCTCAGAAGGAAGGTTGGGCAGTCTACTTCAGTAGAGATACTGCCTTGGAAACCCAAGGAGGGGTCACTGTGAGTCGAATCTGACTGGACAGCAGTGAGTTTGAGATTAAAAAATTTAAAATAGTAACAAAGTGGGGAGAGAAAAGTCTTCCTGAAACTGAGCTAAAGTCTATCTCCCTGTCACTTCCTGGTTCTAACTCCCCAAAGAAAAAACAAAAAACTGCCAATGAGTCAATTCTGACTCATAGAGACCCCATTGGGTTTCTG